TCTTCCTCAGCACCTTGCTGAGAAGATCTGCTGTGTTGCCTGCTGGAGGGGCCTGAGTCTTCCTCAGCACCTTGCTGAGACGATCTGCTGTGTTGCCTGTCAAAAAGACTAAGTCGCTTGAGCCGTCTTTGGGTCTGGACAGGATTTCCTAGACGCCTTCATCTGAAGTCTCTGATAAACTGTGATGGAAACTGTTGTGTTGGAGAGATGCTGCTGGTAGTATCACAGTCCTTTTCTAGAAAATTCGGTTCTGCCATCTTTATTAGCTCTCAAATAAGAAGGCAATTAAGCCCCCTCGTTCAATTTTTCCGTCTTTATGAAAGTATACCTTTACACTTCAGCTGTGATTCTGTTTTAAAACAGACGTTTAGGGAGGGAAACGCAGTCTCTCTATGATTTAGTAAAGCTCTTCCCTGAGCGAAACGTTCTCCTTTATACTGTATCCTCAGAACCACAACTGTTGACACTGCAACTTAACATCCACCAAGATGTTTCTCGATGCCAGTGAAGGGGTCTTGATCCATGAAACTAGAGCTCCTTTCTCCCCATCCCTGGATGAGAGTTTTCTGCATCCACTTTCCTCAGGCGCTGCGAGGACCATACGAGCTTAGCGCTTCCCGTGAATGTAATATATCATAAAACACTTCCCCTGCATCTTTCTTCCTCTTCCTCTGTCCTCTTCCTTCTACCCTTAACTCTTTCCTCTTCCTCTTTCCTCTCTTTGTCCTCTTCCTTCTTCCCTTAAGGAGCACGTAAGTTCCTCCGTCTTCTGATAACATGTTCATTTTTCCACTATAATCTACCTTGTCCATAATTATTATCGCATTTGCTTTGTCTGTTTCGTAAGGTGAAGTCCAGGATATTTCTTTAATTCATGGTATAACTTAACAAATCCTTGAGGACAACAGTCATCAAATATTTGTTAAGGTAGAGGTTTGAGCTGTGCTCACGCCTCTACAACACTAGTGTCATCAAAGATTTGTTATTTGAAGACGGAAGAACTTACGTGCCTCTTAACTCTGCCCCTTCCTTTTACTCTTTCCTCTTCCTCCTGCCTGCCTCCCCATCTCACCCCTCGCGACCCTCCCAACTACCACCCACACACGACCTTGAAGGGAAAGAGGTCGTTTGTATGCATGAGTGGTCACCCAGCATGTCCCTTGGGGCTCCCCTAGAGCACAGATACTCAACCAGGGGCTCTAGACTCTAGTGACGGTGGGGGGCAGAGCGGTGGTTGTGGAAATTATAGAGAAACAGGGTTGTCCTGGACATGATGGAGGAATATAATTGTTGTGGCGTTGACAGTAGTGGAGGATGACTGTGAAAATTATTATAGTGGGAGATGGTCATAGAAATGACATTATGGGTGGTAATGATCTACATACAAAGTTATAAAGGGACATTAAAAAAAGAATATTCTGAAACATCAGCCACGAGAAGAACAAGAACAAGAAGAACAAGAAGAACAAGAACAAGAAGAACAAGAACAAGAAGAACAAGAGGACCCAGTTGGAAAATGAAAATAAAAACGAGAGGAGTCGAAGACAAGCAGAGGTAGATGTAAGCTCACTACACAGTTTCGAGAGTAGGTATGACAGGGCCCAGGAGGCCAGGAACCAGTTTATTATAATCAATTTTTGAGGTTAAAAGAGGAGCCAGTAAAGCACTCAGTGAGTACAGTTGAGTACAACTCTGAGTACAACCCAGTAAGTAAAACCCAGTGAATACAACCCACCGAGTACAACCCAGTGAGTACAACCCACCGAGTACAACCCAGTGAGTACAACCCACCGAGTACAACCCAGTGAGTACAACCCACCAAGTGCAACCCAGTGAATACAACCCACCGAGTACAACCCAGTGAGTACAACCCACCGAGTACAACCCAGTGAGTACAACCCACCAAGTGCAACCCAGTGAGTACAACCCACCGAGTACAACCCAGTGAATACAACCCACCGAGTACAACCCAGTGAGTACAACCCACCGAGTACAACCCAGTGAGTACAACCCACCGAGTACAACCCAGTAAGTACAACCCACCAAGTGCAACCCAGTGAATACAACCCACCGAGTACAACCCAGTGAGTACAACCCACCGAGTACAACCCAGTGAGTACAACCCACCGAGTACAACCCAGTGAGTACAACTCACCGAGTACAACCCAGTGAATACAACCCACCGAGTACAACCCAGTGAGTACAACCCACCGAGTACAACCCAGTGAGTACAACCCACCGAGTACAACCCAGTGAGTACAACCCACCGAGTACAACCCAGTGAGTACAACCCACCAAGTGCAACCCAGTGAGTACAACCCACCGAGTACAACCCAGTGAGTACAACCCACCGAGTACAACCCAGTGAGTACAACGCACCAAGTGCAACCCAGTGAGTACAACCCACCGAGTACAACCCAGTGAGTACAACCCACCGAGTACAACCCAGTGAGCACAACCCACCGAGTACAACCAGTGAGTACAACCCACCAAGATGCAACCATGAGTACAACTCACCGAGTACAACCCAGTGAGTACAACCCACCAAGTGCAACCCAGTGAGTACAACTCACCGAGTACAACCCAGTGAGTACAACTCACCGAGTACAACCTAGTGAGTACAACCCAAGGAGTACAACCTACTGAGTACAACCCACCGAGTACAAGCCAGTGAGTACAACCCACCGAGTACAACCCAGTGAGTACAACCCACCGAGTACAACCCAGTGAGTACACCCCAGTGAGTACAACCCACAACCGAGTACAACCCAGTGATAACCAACCAGAGTACAACCCAGTGAGTACAACCCACCGAGTACAGCCCAGTGAGTACAACCCAGGGAGTACAACCCACCGAGTACAACCCACCGAGCACAACCCAGGGAGTACAACCCAGGGAGTACAAACCAGGGAGTACAACTCACCGAGTACAACCCACCGAGTACAACCCACCGAGTACAACCCACCGAGTACAACCCACCGAGTACAACCCACCGAGTACAACCCACCGAGTACAACCCACCGAGTACAACTCACCGAGTACAACCCACCGAGTACACACTAAACTTTAATGCCATTTCGAATCATCATATTTTTTTCCTATACAACTTTCATCTATAAAACCTCTAATTAAAAACTCTGATGCCTATCACTAATTGAATCACCTGGCATACATTAATTATGCAAATTAGTATATGTAAATATTCCTCGCGTATTCATAGATTAAAAAACACATCAAATTTCAGTTTTTTTAAAAAGAATCTCTTTAATATCACCTTTTTTATATCAAATTCTGGATTAGTTAAAAAAAAAAGATTTAAAAAAAAATTTTACCACATAAGATATAGCGACCGAAGACTCGTTAAAAATTATATGAAGTTAACAAAAAAAAAATTTTAAACTCTGGTTTTCTTTAGTTGTACCAGGATATTCATCATGGAAATGCTCGTTTTCTCTAATGATATAGAAAATGGTCACAATTCCTGTTTTAGCGGAAACTTGCTTAAATAAAATCAATAAATATACGTATATATATAATATATATATATATATATATATATATATATATATATATATATATATATATATATATATATATATATATATATATATATAAAGGCCTGAGCTTGTTACCATCTGCAGCTCATAAGACTGCCATCCCCACGAGCCCCTTTGAGGCGGGGTAGATGGCAGACCAGAGGCCTAGCTTCTCCCTACGAGCCCTGTGAGGGCGGGGAATGTGGCTAGGCCTGGGGACACTTGGTCCCAAAGATGAGGAGGTACTTGTACCTCCTCCCATGGGAGACTTAATTAAGTCTCGAGAAACTCCCCAGTTAGGGAGCCAAGGCCGGGTCACCACTACTTGGAAAAGACCCGGGCCGGAGAATACTGGTGAATAATATATATATATATAATATATATATATATATATATATATATATATATATATATATATATATATATATATATTATATATATATATATATATATAACTTTATTTCTACAAGTACATGTACAAGGTATACAGACCATAGCTCACGTCATTAATATACTAATATAAAGAAAATCCCTTGTTATGCAGAGCATTTCGGGCAAATTAGGTTAATTTTGTCCCCAGGATGCGACCCACACCAGTCGACTAGCACCCAGGTAACTATTTTACTGATGGGTGAACATGGACAGCAGGTGTCGTAAGGAAACCCGTCCTAATGTTTCCACCCATTCCGGGGGATCGACCGTAATAATAATTTTAGCTCTAAACCCATAAGGGTTATAGTTTTTTTAATTCATTAAACAGAAACGTTTATATATTACATTGTTTCCATTAATTCACGCTTATTCAGAGAATATATTTCCTGTAATTTATTTACAATATCTTCGTTCTGAGAGTTTGAAAGTAAACGTAAGGTAGGATTTCGTTTGGATTTTTAATCCTGGAGGGTTAGCCACCCAGGATAACCCAAGAAAATCAGTGCGTCATTAAGGATTGTGTCTTATTTCCTTTGTGGTCCTCAATCTTGTCCCCCAGGATGCGACCCACACCAGTCGACTAACATACAGGTGAACGAGACAACAAGTGTAAGGAAACACGCTGAGTGTTTCCACCCATGCCGGGAATCGAACCACGGACACTCCGCGTGTGAAGCAAGAGCGTTGCTCACCAGGCCATGGGCCACCCCTAACGTAAATAATATGGGGACTGACAACATTTTTTTTTTGTGGTGACTGCCTTGATTACTAGGGAATTTTGGGCGTGGATGAAGCATTTTGAAGTGTTGGGCGTCAAACATACTGAGTGAGCTTCAATTACCGTCGTGGTTGTGTGCGAGAGTGAGGCACCTAACTCTGATACGTCGTGGTCGTCGTGGTTAAGGTCGCTGCAACGCCTACCTTAAACACGTTGGTTGTGGTCGTTGTAACACCTACCTTAGACACGTTGGTTGTGGTCGTTGTAACACCTACCTTAGACACGTCGTGGTTGTAGTAGTTGTAAAACCTAC